GGTTTAGTGGTGGACTTGGCAGTGTTAGGTTAATGGTTGGATTCGATGGTTTTAAAGTCTTTTTCAACCTAAATGATTCTGTGATTCTCTGATTCTAAATGCTCGCAGCCTTTGCAGTGTCAGCCTGCCCATCTAGTATGGCTACCCAGCGGGCAGAAGCCCAAACAGAGAGTGTCCCTCCTCTCGGTCCTTCGAGTGGGCTGTGGCTTCCAACACCACAAATTTTCCCGGAAGAGATTTTGGGGTCCCCTGCATGGAGTCTCACCAGCCTCAGGGCTTCTAAAAAGCATGCTGCGTAGGCTCCTGACACACCCTTTTACACACTGTGTAAGCAATTTACACTCTTTACTGGAACGGCAGAACAAGCTGATATGTAACCAAACAAGTCTATCACCCTTTTCTGTAAATCAACACTGGTAATAGATGGGAATTGGATGTTAGTGTCACCCTATAAACAGTGGATGTAATTAGAACAATACTGATTTTAATTTACAGAAGGGCTGTGTTTCCTGCCACGGGTGCCAAAGAACATTTCACCGTTGGCTACACCAGAAAATAAGTCACTTATTAAAGCTCACAAGCTGCTGTAAACAGTTGCAGTACTGCAGATGAACAGTACCCCCAAATCCTGAATAAGCAGAGAGTAAATACTTACCTTGTGTACCGCATGCTGTGTTTCAGTCTCCTCTTGCGCTGATCATGTAGTCTGGGATCCAGGTGGTCACCTCATACCTGCAAGCACGACAAAAGCTGGAAACCCTTTGGCAGGTCTGATGCGACGACAGTCCTGGAGTGAGAAAATATTTCAGCCTGTGCTCCTCAAACAAAACTTTATGTTGATGGTTTCCCAACGTCCTCTAACTACTCAGCTGGTGAAGCATACCAGTTTGTATGAGTTTTCTCTAGCGGCTACTCCCCTAAGGAAGCCATGGCTTCTGAAGAGTTTGGCATTGTCCAGCATGCATGACACTGGCCTTCAAACTCACATTTCAACCACTTCTATCGCTGCTGCTGACTGGGGACTGGGACAAACTGAGCACAGATTGTGTTTGCACTCTCATCTTCACAAGCTGAAATTCAGTGGCAGACCTCTCTCCTTTTGTCAGTCATGACCCATCGCTGGAAAGGCTGATGCAACCATTTTGCGCAAGTCATTCTTTCACAATAACTTCCTCCAACATTAAGTGCAGAAATAGTTCCTAGGCCAAACTGCATTCACCTCCCTGTGCCTCTACTTTCGATACTTACTGTTTGGTATGCATTGGGGGTTGTTAACTGTACTGAGCAACAGAACATCTCAGCACTTTTTTTGTAGGTTCTGTAAAATGTTATCAATATATAGATTGATATATATATAATACTGATATAAATGTCGGAGTCAAATTATTTAGTCAAAGAGAATACTGGAGGAACACTTAGCATCATTTCATTTCCTAGGACACCACAGACATATGTTATCAACAAATAGAAAATGCATAAGAATGGGAATGATATTCTGTCTGAAAAAGAAGACACAGTTTGAAAGAAAGTATCCCTCTGTAAACATCCAAGGCAATTTTGAGAGGGGAGGTTTGATGATATTTATTTTAGCCTGACTGAATGGAAACACACAGCTGGTCAAATGGCCAAGCATGCTGCATGCATAAAGGGGTAGGGAGTCTTCCTACCAGCTCTGAAAGGGAAACCCATTAAATTCAAACACCAAACCTTCCTACTGCAGTTTCCATTTTTTTTCTGTGTGCAGAAATTGTCACGATCTGCTGCCCACTTGCACCAAGAGGTACCTGCCTGAGAGCAGACAGACAGACTGATTCCTGCCACATGTCAGAGGGCCCACAGCAGCATCTGTGTGCTCAAGGGTGGCAAAGCCCAGGCAGAAGCCCGGGTGCGTCTCATAGCAACCTTCAGTCCCACTGCATTGAAATTAGCATTGCACATGAGGTTAAGAACCTGACACTTTCCAAAAAAAGGAATTGAAAGACTGAGATACCCTTGTATTTTCTGTCTGCTACAGAGAATAGATGATAAGCATAACAACATTTTAAAACAGAGACAGAGCAGCTGTGGGACACAGCAGAGAAGGGAAATGGTCTTTTAGTGAAGGGGTGTCATCAACTTCCCCAAAGCTACCTCTTCCCTCTAGCACCACTCAGCTGGAATGGTTCTTGTTCTTCAAGAGGGAAGACTTCCAGTTTTCAAAACGTTTAAAAATGTTAATTCTCAGTTTGACGCGACTCATTTCTATATGTTTTTGTCATCAAAATTGCAGCTCCTTGATAAAGTTAAGTATAGTTAATTTTGTGAAGAGCTTTGGAGAAGATGACCACATATGAGGCCACATACTTCATTGAATGCGAAATGAGCACGCTTTTCTATCTGTTACAGCTTCACCACCATGCTTTCGTGGAGACTCGAGGTAGGCACCAGCTATTTTTTCAGAAGCACCAACTTTCTCCTATCATCCAGGCTCAGCCCACTCTCATCATGCTTCTAAACTGGGCTGGGTTTCTGGTTTCTCTCAGAAAGAGAAGACCGGAGCGACCCTGCCCACCTTCCCATGCTGCAATTCACAAACCTTGCAGTTCATTTCAGCAAACTGCTTAAAAAGCCAAGAAATCAGGGTGGACCTTCTGCTTGTTTCCATCAGTAGGGAAAAAATGTCTACAAGCAGCACAACTTCTCTTTCTCATTCCAGGTCAATTTGTCAGGATTCATCAGGTTATCCGGAGTCAGGAAGGTCCGAAGATGCTCAAGGTGGCCAGAAATGCCCTCCACAAGCTGCCACACACACAGAGGCAAGATACCAGCCACCTGCCTCCCAGAGCATCAGCTTCCAAATTGAGCTGCAGCCTGGACTCAAAAGAACTTCTTTTGAAATCAAAGAGTCCAGAGTAGGAGAAAGCTGCTGTCTTTTAAGTTGAGAATACTGTTCGTCTGCTTTTTCTCCAGACTAACTGCATGTTTAGCATTGAACAAAGCACCTTGTGGGTGCTTTCTCTCCTCCTCCAAGTTTAAGCTATGATTATCCTTCCTCTTTTATGGTGTTTGAAAAAGGCACATGCCCCCATCTGTGCCAGTACATTACTTTTTCCCAGCAGCAGGGCACAGATCTGCAACAAGCCTGTGCTTTTGTAACTGCTGATGTTCCAAGCGAGACACCCCACAAGCCTTTGTCAGATAGATAGGGCTGAGACAGAGCTGTGGTCATCATTTTTGAACCTCTCTTGCTTTAAACATTCCTGTTTAGCCAACAGCAGCACAAGAAGCACACATTTCCCTCAGCCAGCTCTTCCCTGACCCCCAGCTACAGCCTGCTCAGCATCCCTGCCTCCTGCGGCTCAGTGCTGGGTCCCTGCATTGCCTCTGCTGGCAGAGGGACAGGCTCCTGCCACAACCCTCCTCCACTAGTAAACTGCTGCTGCTAGACAGGGCAGCGACCAGCGATGGGGGGCTGTATTAGATGAGTGTTGACCAAAATAGATGTAGAAACAGAAATATATTTATGTGGCCAGAACCCCACAAGGATGGACTTGTTGATCAAAAACCACAGAACACGTGGCAACACTTGTCCTCAGTCAGTCTGCCATCAGAGTTACAAGGATTATTTCACTATTATATCCCCACTGCCTCCTCTTTCTGCATCTGTGTTGTGTTACTCAGGGAACGCGGCTTTAGGATCAGACTCCAGTTGCTAGAGCCCTGCAGCTCTCTCCCCTCTGCCAGCCAGAGGTACCGACTCCTCCATTTCCTGCAGTATCTGG